AACCTACATAAGTGTTATGTTAAAATCTACATAATTATCATGTCGTGAACTGCTGTAAAATAGTCATATGCAGAGTTAAGAACTATGTCCGAAACAGGAACTATATATTATAATTTCCAAACTCATGGAATAAGTGGTAAGTGTCCAACACGAGGACTGAAATGGATTATAGTCCAACACGAGGACTTCTATGGATTATAGTCCAACACGAGGACTGTGAAATGGTAAAAAATATCACGGTGATATATAGTGAAAATCTACTTATATCAATCCTCACTCAAATAAATGTGTAAGTCCCCAATTTATACCCTCAGGTCATCTATCATGTCTGGGTACATAGTAAGACTAAAAACCAAAGTCAGATAATCCAGGCAAACTCTCGAACATGAGTAAAATACTCGAAAATACACAAAACAGGGATTTGCAACAGATAGTGCGGCGGGCGACCGCACCGGGCGACCGCACTCTGATACACGCCTGGCGGTCGACCGCTGCGGCCTCGCGGTCGACCGCCAGAGCATCGCGGTCGACCGGCGCGGTCGACCGCAGACCGGTTTTTGCCCTTATAGCGAGCCCAGCGGTCGACCGTCCCGGTCGACCGCCAAGCGGACAGAAACCCAAATCTGGGTTTCTATCAGCTCGAAACCTGAAATGAAAATTTGACATTTCTCTACGACAACAGGAGTTCTAATGTTTCAAAAAAAATACTACAGAAGGTAAACAACTAATCCCAAGCCTGAAATCTACATTTCCAATATTCTAAATACATGAGAAACAAATCAAAAACGTTTTTAAAACAGTAAAAATGATTTATCTCTTGTTTAGGCAAATTTCAGATCTAGATCTTTATTAAACAGAACATTGGTGAACTTTTATAGCCCAAAACCATTGATTCTTGTAATCCATATTAGAGAACTCAATTTTATACGAAAATACCATTTGGGCTCATCAAAAACTCATAAAAATCAAAAGAAAACCATAGAAAAATAGGGGTGAGGGATTAGGCGAGATGATACTCGCCTCAGGTGAGAAATGAATCCCTAGATCTGCAGGAGGTTGATCCCCTTCGCTGAAATCCAACAATCCCGCTGAAAATCCTCAAGAACTCCTCTGAGCACAAGAAAATACCCCAAGATAAACACAAACACAAAAGAAATGATCACGAAGTTCGGAAACCCTCGACCTTCGTCTCCGCTCCTCACTCTCGAGGAGAATCTCCACTATCTCAACCGGTTTTCAACGTTCACAAAAAACGTTTACAATACAGACAATGCAATCACACAACACACACTCTAAGACACACGCTCTAAGTGTTGGCCTAGCTCGTGTCATCTTCCTCAAGTGTTCGGATTTATAACCTCTCTCTAAGTTTTACCACCGACGTCACTCCTCTTGGAATCGACCCTGTCTCTCACCACACACTCCTCTCGGTGTACTTGTGTATTACAAAGTGAACTCTCAACAATTAAGTACAAATAAAATGATTTGTTCTCCAATACAATTTGAAAACGAAATAAAGCTCACTCAATCACACTCACAACCCAAATGTATTATATGTAAAAATACTCAATCTCAAATATGGGTGTGTGTGAAAACAATATGAACAATAATGAAAACTAAACTCAATGTAAAATCTAGCTTAAATAAAATTGATAATCAACAAATAAATATGTAAAGCTAGAATTGAGTTTAGAGAAAACTTCTCTGAAATAACGAGAGTGAGAGAGAGAGGTGGAATTGAAGCTCAAACACGAAGGAATCAATCTTCTCCTCTTGTGAAAGTTTTTTCACAAAAATAAACTTGAAATCACTTAAAAACTCTTAAACAAACTTAAACCCCTTTGTAAATTTGTTTTGAAAGTTTCTTCATTAGTTTAGAAGTTAAAGGGTATGGGGTATATATAGGATCAAAAAACAAAGGTCCAAAAATCAAGAAAATATCACAAAACAATAAAATCTGGAAAATTAGTCGTTATGCCAACGACTACCTGTTTGGTTGACCGGATGACACTGGTCGGTCGACCGAAAGGTGTACATCGGTCGATCAAACCCAAGTTGTCAGTCGACTGAAACACCCTGAAAAAATTAGCTGAAACTTGTGTTCTGGTCGGTCGACCGGCGCACCTTGTGCGGTCGATCGAAAACAGATATTTGGATTTCCAGATTTTTGAAATGCAGATTTTTGAGTTTGAAACATCATTAAAAAATATCAAATAATTTTTGAATCGGTCGATCAAACCCAAGTTGTTGATCGACTGAAACACACGGAAAAAATTAACTGAAACTTGTGTTCTAGTCGGTCGACTGGCGCACCTTGTGCGGTTGACCGAAAACAGATATTTGGATTTCCATATTTTTGAAATGCAGATTTTTGAGTTTGAAACATCATAAAAAATATCAAATAAATTTCAAAAATTATAAAACTTTAGAAAATATTTATAAACATGAAAATAAACATGTTATAAAAAGAATTTTTTAAATTGCACTTTCCAATTGTGAAAATTCATCATTTTACAAAATCAGTCAAAATACGAAATCTTAAAAACACATGATTTTGACAAAATGATTTCAAACAAGTTTCAAACTTCTTTTAAATGGATTAATAGACTTTATAAAAGATATAAACTAATATTGTCAAGTCTATAACCCTCAAAAAGAATATTTTACAATCTTTCAAAACAATAAACATGATTTTAAATCTTGATCTCAATGAAATCATACCAAGCACATATAAACATGAAACGAATATGAGTGTATACAGTTTGTATTCATTTGTTTCATATTTATGTGGCTAAACACATTATTTTCAAAAAAAATGATAAATATGAAACATGTATGTATGTATATAAACAAGTATATTTGTTTCATATTTATTTAAACTTGAAAGCTATAAAACGAAAACGTGTATGTGTGTGATAATTGAGCTTTAAAGTATAACACACATGGTATAAGACCTAAACTAGAAACAATATACTCAAGCTAGATGATCTTCAATTAGCTCGTCTTGGTTACGGATGAAGCGATATTGGATCTTGACTTGAATTGCGCAAAGCTTCATTCCAATTCCCTCCAACCTCCAAGATATCGTCGTTAAGCTCGATTCCATCCAACCTCCGACAGATGATCTTTGTGTAGAATACCTAACAAGTAACCACTCGACAAATATTGTTAGGAATTATTTGTTAATCATCAAAAGTAGATTAGGGAGTAGGCTCATAAACATGAGACCTAACAAAATCGTCTTTTTGGCTTGTAGCGAGGGGTGTCGAGAAGTAACACCTTTCGAGTCGACCCCACGAGGTGTCGAATAGCTGGTCGAGTGGGCTCGTAGCGAATCGTCTTCGACAAGAGGACCGATAAGTATCGTCCTTCGAGTCGACCTAAGGAGATGTCGACTCTGCGAGTCGGCTAAATTGGGAGACTTGGCGGTCCTGACCGTCAATTCGATTTGAGCAGGCATGTAGGGGGACACCTGTCCGTTGCTAGCAAAGGGCCACATTTTGGCGACTGAAATCACCATAACAGTTGGCCACTTTCGCTTGGAGTCGGCTTGGGCTGGGTCCGAGTGATATAAGAATAGTTCTTGACGGGCGCATGTGTGCATTAAATGAGGGAACTGAAAAGTCTTTTTAGTTTTCACATGGCTGACGTCATCGCACATTCCTTTTGACTACCACAACTCCGCTTTTCGTGCCGGATTGCGGGTTATTCCAGGTTAGTGGGCTGCGCCTTAATCCCTGAGATGCCGCTTCGGATTCAGAGAATTAATCTTGGCCGTTGGCCAAAGCCTGATCCGACCATTCAGATTCCGACAGCCGCGGATTCAGCTGCCTATATATAAAGCCAGTTATACTAATGGATCATAAACTTATACTACTAATTTTTTGATAGAGTGGCGCCACGCCTTACCAGGTACCTCCGTCCCTGACCGCGCAGGTAGAACTGAAAAATGCTTGATGAACGCTAAAGGGATTCGAAATGACCCGAAGTCTTGGTTGTCCGATCCTTATAGCTGAATCTTATACTCTAGAGGTAACCCAAGAAATTAATGGTAATGGCTCGTAATGTACTACGTACGGCCATAATATTGTGAATGCTACAAAAATGGGAAGTAGCAGCCTGCAAGCTTGTGTGTTCCAGCATATTAGAAGAGAAAGTAACCGTATTGCTCATCAATTAGCCGATGAGGGCTTCTCTCTTTTAGATGCTATGTACTGACGAAAGATCAAGCTCCTCTTTGGTTTATTTTACATATGCTTGAGCATTTTGATTAGCATGTTTGACAACTAGTTAAAGTGGCTCGTAAGCGACCTTTTGTGGTTTATAAGCCACTGATGCATATTTGGCAAACAGCTTATGTTGGCTTATAAGCAAGAAAAAAATAAGTTGGTTTAACGCAACTTACTTTTTCTTGGCATATAAGCCACATTATTTGACCAAACAAAAAAATCATTTTATGCCTTAGCATTTAAGAAAATTTTGAAACATTCTTTCTCTATCTCCAACTCTTTTTTGGTCATTTTAAGAACAATCATCGATTATAAGCTACTCATTCACCAAACACTCTACTATTAAAAATGTATTATAATCAACTAAATTTACCAAATACTTTAGATTATAATCACTTGTAAGCAATTCATGAACTGTAAGCCAAATGAAACATAAGTCAAAGTTGCCAAACATGCTCTGTCCATTTAGATGCAATGAGAAGCAATTTTTCATAAAAATATAAAAATAAAAGAAAATAAAACACCAACCAAATGATGTTCATGGTCCTCCAACTTGCAAGGTCGTCCCAATCAACGACTTCGGATTCCACCTCAGTTCAAGTCGACGGTTCTCTCCCTCCACGTCACAGCCTATTCCCAAACCACTTGCAGCTCTCCACGTATCATTCTCCAATCTCCACCGTCCACTAATCCACGCTGGCACACTAAACTCCATCCTGACCGTCCGCTCACTTCGCAAACCCCCAAGCATTTAAATGCCCAATCCCCTCGACTTCAAAACTCCGATCTCAAACTAGCATCAGCAGCACGCAGCGAGCGGTAGAGAAATGAGGAAGTGGGCGCTTCCTTCTGTTCTTCTCCTTTTGATTCTGCTCTCAACTCTCCCCGATCAAGGTAAATCTAGGGTTTTATACTTGATTTCTAGGGTTTTGGATCGGTTACTTGATTTGATTTGTTTCGATGTTTTGTTGATTCGAAGGTCGAAAGATCCAAGCGAATGCTGAGGAGAGCGATGGAGATGATCTCGTTGATCCGCCGAAGATTGAGGAGAAGATCGGAGCTGTTCCTCATGGATTGTCCACTGATTCTGATGTCGCGAAGAGGTATTGAGCTTGATCTCTCAATGATTTAGAATTTTGGATTAAATGAAATTTTTCTTCAATTTGGTTTGCAGTAGCGGTAGTCAGTAGATCTTGCTAATTCGCTCATATATATGTGAAGTTGGTTACTGCACTAGGTGAATCTCAATAGTAGTTTCTGTGTTTTGAGCTGAAGTTTCCGTTTGCATAATTATTCACACACTGCATGAGCATTAGCATAACTGTCAATGTGTATTGTGTATTGGGAATGATTAATTGTTTTTTTTAACGCTGGTAGTGTGAATGTTAGTGGAAATACTGCAATACTAAACCTTAACTGGCAATAGAATTTTCTTCGGACTAGTAATTACAAAAAAACCGCAATCTTGCTGTTTTGTACTCGCTTTGTTAATATTTTGAACCATGGTGATTCAGAACTCATATTTAAGGCCTATTAACTATTCAAAGTGGCCCGAGACTCCAAATAGTTTAGGAGATTTTTGAGGTGTTCATGTGTGAGTATTGGACTATAGTTCCCTTTGAAAGGGAGGGAACGAATAACTGTTGTGGCTTAATTGATTATCCAACTTTTGTTAAAAAAAAACAATCTAACTCATTTAAATAAGGATACCAGGATGTTGGAGAAAATCTGAAAAATGCTCTGACAAGTCTCCCTTGGACAAAATTCTGAAATTAGATACTATCATTTTGGTATAGTAAAACACATTTTTGGTGCCCAGTAACGTGCTAAGATTCAAATGGTAAAACATTTCGACAAAAATTACTAACTCTATTGGAAGTATTTGCTCAAGTACTTCTATGGCTGTCTCTCAACTGCTGGGAGAAAGTAACATATGCTCATCTTTTCCTTTATCAATTTATTTTCAGAGAGACGGAGTCAATCTCAAGGAAGTCTCTAAGGAACAATGCAGAGAAGTTTGAATTCCAGGCTGAGGTTTCTCGACTGATGGATATAATTATCAACTCTCTCTATAGCAACAAAGATATTTTCTTGAGAGAGCTTATCTCTAATGCCTCAGATGTAAGTAGATCTTTGGAAGCTCTTGAGGGAATTTAAATACTAGTATTGAATTGATTTATTTCCTTGCAATTTTTTTTATCAGGCATTGGATAAGATCAGATTTCTTTCTCTCACCGACAAGGAGATATTGGGGGAAGGCGATAATGCAAAGCTTGAGATAATGGTTTGTAGTTGCAAGCACCGTGAAAGTTCTTATGTTTTATGACCGTTGCATGTGGTTAATTGTCTGATAATTACCTTTATTAACATTTTTCTGATTGCTGTCAGATTAAGCTAGACAAGGAAAATAAGGTCCTTTCTATCCGGGACCGAGGCATTGGGATGACAAAGGAGGATTTGATTAAGAATTTGGGAACCATTGCCAAGTCTGGAACTTCAGGTACAATTGACAATATCATTCACTATTTCAGCTGTCTGAGGCTTGAAAACTATGACTAATATAATCATATTATATACAGCTTTTGTGGAGAAAATGCAGACAGGAGGCGATCTTAATCTTATTGGTCAATTTGGTGTGGGGTTCTACTCAGTCTATCTAGTTGCTGACTATGTTGAAGTCATAAGTAAACACAATGATGACAAACAGTAGGAAACCATAGCTCATCTTTGGACCGGCTTATTATTATTTGTTCATTTTCTTTTTGGATCAAGAGATCCTTACCTTTTCAGCATTCTTGGTGACTTCTAGATATGTTTGGGAGTCTAAGGCTGATGGGGCCTTTGCAATTTCCGAGGATACATGGAATGAACCACTAGGGCGTGGAACAGAGATCCGTCTCCATCTCCGAGATGAAGCCAAGGAGTATTTGGATGAATTCAAGTTGAAGGTTAGTGATTGTTTATTTTGTGTGCCTGTACTCTAGCTACAATAGTTTTCTTAGGTTATTTCATTTCATATATATATAAAAAGAAAGTGTTTCAGCATTAACTGATCTACAATAAATATATTAGCTTTCGGTCCATGTGCTTTTAATGCTAAATCCTACAGTAGAACAGTTTCTCATTATTTTCGGCACAATTTCCTACTTAAATAATCTTTAAATTGATGTTGTTCGCGATGTTCAATTGGTTCAACTCTGAGGGTATATATTTGGGTTCGTTGATTTTGTGGGATTTCTTTTTTAGTCTGCCACCATCGCTGTCAGGATATACATTTTTTCAGACTTTCAGTTATATTTAACCCATACCAAACATATTTGATCACAGGTTGCAGTAAAGTCCATTTGCCTGCAGTTGTTAGCCTGTTGGATTTAGAAATTGTCTTTATTACATGCTGTTCATCATGACCATGAGTTTAATGATGAGAACAGTTGCGACCTTTTTCGGCTGATCATGAGAGTGTTGGAGGTTAAACTAACCTTGTCAGACGTTTTGCTTTGTTTTCTAGTAGCCTGTGATGTCATGCAGGGTACTATTAGTCCTTATGAAAACTAAAGACCTGGTTTATATAGCACAGGCTATTAACTGACCATGCTTCCTTTTGATGTCTGGATAAATTTTCTTTTTCCATGACTTAAGGTGATTCATTAGACACTAATTATATACTGCTATTAACACAATTGGTCTTTATGATGCAGGACTTGGTGAAGAAGTATTCTGAGTTTATCAACTTCCCCATATATCTATGGGCAAGCAAAGAGGTCGATGTTGAAGTTCCGACTGATGAAGAATCCAGCGATGAAGAGGAAACAAGTATATATTTAATACCATTCATTCATATTTAATCCTTTAATTGCATAAGAATCTGTACCAACTTGATTTGTGAAATATCACGATTTTGACTGTATGGTTTTAACTCACTGTATATGTTTCGTGGGACAGGTGAAGCTACTACATCCGAAGAAGAAGAAGAGGTAGAAGAAGATGGTGAGAAAAAGAAAAAAACAAAGACGGTGAAGGAAACAACTTATGAATGGGAGGTCTTGAATGATGTGAAGGCTATATGGCTTCGCAGTCCTAAGGAGGTTACTGACGAAGAATACACGAAATTCTATCACTCCATTGCTAAGGTATAATGCTTTGTCCATCAAATAAAATGGCTGGAAGGCAGAAATGCATTGAGTGTTTTATTATTTAAAAGAAAGAAAAAAAGAAACTCCTGCATGTACAGCCATTTGATTTACCTTTCTAATATATGCAGGATTTTAGCGAGGAAAAGCCTTTAGCTTGGAGCCACTTTACTGCTGAAGGTGATGTAGAGTTCAAGGCGGTGCTTTTTGTGCCACCAAAGGCTCCTCATGATTTATATGAGAGTTACTACAACAGCAATAAATCCAACCTGAAGTTGTATGTTAGACGAGTCTTTATCTCAGATGAATTCGATGAACTTCTTCCTAAATATCTGAGCTTTTTGATGGTAATGGAGATGGGGAATTTGCACCCTTTCACTTACCTTTAAGCGTTCTGCATTTCGTCATTCATGTTTTAAAATTTCCTACTTTTCAGGGTCTTGTTGACTCAGACACATTGCCACTTAATGTATCTCGAGAAATGCTTCAGCAGCACAACAGCCTAAAGACAATCAAGAAAAAACTAATTCGCAAGGCCCTTGATATGATACGCAAGATTGCTGATGAGGATCCTGATGAGGATCCTGATGAGTCTAGCGACAAAGATAAGACAGGTATCATAGTTGAAACTGATTTCACATTCTCATCCTTGTGGCTAATTGCAGTTTTATGTTTCTCTTCCTAGCTTTAACACCTTTCCTTTATTGCTGATGGATAATTACAGATTCAGTGAGCGAGAATGATGAAAAGAAGGGATCATATGCCAAGTTCTGGAACGAGTTTGGGAAATCCATTAAGCTTGGAATCATTGAGGATGCACAAAATAGAAATCGTCTGGCTAAGCTTCTCAGATTTGAAAGGTGAACTTTCTTATTGACTTACCGAGCTAGGGACAGTGCAATTATCTTGGAACTGGAATTCTGATGACATTTGAATAAGGCTGACTTATATGCCCATGTATTTCTTTTTCAGTTCCAAATCTGAAGGCAAGCTTACCTCACTTGACCAGTACATCTCTAGAATGAAGCCAGGGCAAAAGGACATTTTCTACCTTACAGGAACTAGCAAAGAACAGCTGGAGAAATCTCCATTCCTTGAGAAGCTTACAAAGAAGAATTATGAGGTATATGCTTAAAATGTCAATACTAGAAAATTTACCCAATAGCTTATTCATGCATTTTTCACAAGCAAGATTCATGCACACGAAGACAAATGTTCCTGCATGATTGCACACATAAAGCATACATATGTGGAGACACGCATGCACACAAAGAGGCATATAAAAACACAATCAGCTACGCATAAGTATCTCAGTCCGTTCATCCATGTTCTTCCACATGTACTTGCTTGACTCATTTCATTCGTAGCATGGAGAAGTGTTTCTTGATGCAAGTAAGCATATCTGCATTTGAGAAATGGGGGAGCCTACATCATACAGTATCATTATATACGTTGAAATACTCTATTGTATACTATCAGTTTTTCTGAGACAAAAAATAATTAAGGTGATAGATTCTCTGAAATTACAGAGAACCCACAAGAGATGTTGAAGGTAACTGCATTCAACTATGACGAGGCATGATGTAATAAACTTTTTTAGAAAAGGATAACTCAATATCCTTTAACAAAAATTGCATTTCTTGTATCTCCAATGCAAGAACGGCTTTTCTGATTGGCATCGATCCCAAAGTTTCATTTGGGTGCATCTGTCTGCTACCTTTTGCCATTTTTTTATCTTAATTTCTCACTGATCTTTGTTTGAAGGTCATTTTCTTCACGGATCCAGTTGATGAATACTTGATGCAATACCTAATGGACTACGAAGATAAAAAGTTCCAAAACGTGTCAAAGGAAGGTCTCAACCTTGGGAAAGATTCAAAGATTAAGGACCTTAAGGAGTCATTTAAGGAGCTAACCAAATGGTGGAAAGATGCTCTTTCTGCTGAGAATGTTGATTCTGTAAAGATAAGCAACCGTTTGGACAACACCCCCTGTGTTGTGGTCACTTCAAAATATGGATGGAGTGCAAACATGGAGAAGATTATGCAGTCTCAAACTCTTTCTGATGCAAGCAAGCAAGCATACATGCGTGGCAAGAGAGTGCTTGAGATCAACCCTAGACATCCCATTGTTAAGGAACTCCAAGAGAGAGTTGCAGCAAATCCTGAGGTACAAAACTTACATTAATTTTTTTAAAAATCATCTATCAAGTTTGCTGCCTTCAGGTTATCTTCACTTGAGTTGAATCTAAGGGACAATTTTGCACAACTACCTTGAACTATCAGGGGTTTCATATAAAACTAGTATAACTACTTTATTTGAGAAAATTACCACAAACTTCTAAATTTGCATGAAAATATCACGTATGATCAGAAAATTAACCCTTGTGATGTTAACATGGGATGTTGAAAGTAATAAAACCCCCTAATAGTTTAGGAGGAGAGAGTATAAAATTTTAAGGCAGGAGTAGCTAAAATATGTCGGATGCACGTAATGTGCCAACTTAAACCAATGCCCCTCAGTTATGGTAGCTAGTGAAAAAGTTTGAGGTAATTTTCTGTAATAAGATAGTTTAGGGTATTCTTTTGTGAATCCCCTAAAGTCAATGATTTTTTTTAATTATAAATTTACCTAATCTCTTTGCTGAATATACTACTCAGGAGTCTTTAATTGGTTTGTTCTCTACAAAGATTGTACATGTGGTATATTGTGCATTAACCTTAGCTGCGTTATTCCGCAGGATGAAAGCATTAAGCAAACAGCTAGACTAATGTACCAAACAGCGCTTATGGAGAGTGGTTTTATGCTCAGCGATCCAAAAGATTTTGCCACGCGGATCTATTCTTCGGTAAAGGCAAGTCTAGATATTAGTCAAGATGCAGCAGTTGAAGAGGAGGATGAAACAGAAGAGCCAGAGGCTGAGGAAAAGGAACCAGCTTCAACTAAGGAAACTGATGAGGACACTATTAAAGAAGAGACACAGGAGGATACTCACTTCAAGGACGAGTTATAATTTAGTACCACTCATTTTCTAGGAGATTTTGATATGACCCTTCTATGATATGGCTACCCCTTGAAACTGAACAAAAGAAGATTTTATCATTTGCTGTGCTGTAATTTAGCGGTAACCAGCTCTAGATTAATGTTTCGTATGGAATTTGAGCGATGAATATTGTGGGTGATGAAATCACTCTTCAATAGTATAACTGGCTTCATTTGATGTTTTATGTGCTTCTCTTCACCAACAAGATGATGATTTTTTAGGTCATCTTTGTAAGGAATTCGCACCAAATCTTACGTATATTTGAAGGATAGTTTCATGCTTTTTGACTGATCCAGTTGTATAGAGAATTGGACGTACGAAATATAAGTCTCTAGTGTTTTGTTGTTGGGGATTAATTCAATTGTTTCTTTCTTAAAATCATGGATGGCGCGATGTGCAAAATTTACAGATATAGGATTCATGATGTTTTCTTTTCACTTCCCTCCCTGAATGGATGAAAAATGTAAGAAATCATCGTTTACTGAGCGCTTCTCTCGCAGTGTGGGTGTATTTCTTCCTAATTTAGCCAAAGGAAAAAAAAAGGATAAATTTTTTTGATACCAGACTCCTTGTTTCTAATGCAGATGTGCTTGTTTAGCGTTTAGCGTAGCAAAACCTAATAAATATGAGAGGTTCCATCTGGAAACGACTCTCATGTGTAGAACATGTATTCTTTTTTTTCCTGTATCATATGATATCATCTTTTCCTGTACTTTGTTTTAGAAGTGTATGAAATATATAGCAAGTACACTGTAAGGAAAGGAACCAAACAGTTAGAAAGCCACACGATCTGAAAACTTTTGATACATACATAAAAAAAATCAACTCATGAACCAAATGATGTCATTTGAGCAAAGAAGGAAAAGAGAAACAACAATGAAACAAATAGCTCTTAAGCAACATATAATGTTGGTGAATCAAGTCAGCACCTTTAACTTTCTGGCAATTGAAGAGAGCCTTGGACAAACCAGATGGGTGGTGGGCGTTGATGATAAGCATTATATTCATAAACATCAAACACGTGCCGTGAATGAATCCTTCTATCCTTCAAATGAAAATTACCAACCTCATTAAACACAACCCTGTCATTTGCTAGCCAATATTTGTCTGCATAATAAATGGCATTCCGTGCACAGCCAGGAAAGGAACAAGTTGGTAAGGCTACAGAATTCTTAGACCCTAACAGCAGAGCTTGATCTCCTATGTCGTTGACCTTCGTCCAAGATGTCCCCTTTTCGTCTAACTTGAAAACACTGAAGCAACATGTCAAGTGATCAACATAAGCATAATCCTGACGTTGAAAAGGACACTTGCCAAAGCCTTTTAAACCATCCTCAATCTCATCATCAGCATCTTCATCATGACTCTCGTGTTCATTCTCACGGAAGACGTCTGAGGATGCATCATCCTCAGTCTCATCTCCTTCCTCATCACTCTCATGTACATTCTCAAGGACCTTAGCTGGTGTTTCACATTGTACAAAACGATTAATCATTAACAAATCCCCCGCTAAATCCACCAAATAATCCATTTGTAGGTTCTTGGGAGGCAATTGAGTGAAGTATGGCTCAGAATCAATGTGACAAATGAATAAGCCATGGTAATATCTAGCATAGAATTGCCCCTTGCAAAAGGTGAAGTCAATAATTTGGTAACCCATGGCTGGAAAAGGTGTCCACTCCTTACCTCCCAGTCGACAATAGGCGAGACCGCAGTATGTACAAGCCATAATTATACAACCGTTTGGATTTGTACGTGGATCTGAAGACATGACAACCTTACGCAAAGGCAAACGTTTGTTCACTTTTAAATTTTGAGGTAGCTGAATTTGAGTTTTTGAGAAGGGATCCAACAAACAAACAAAAAAATCTTCATCCATGGTTACAAGCCACCCATGTGAGGCTCCCCATATAACTTTATTTTCAAGCTCTGGGAGTTTAATGTGGTAAACCTCCTGGTCAGAAAGACTGAATAAGCAGAGTTTATGATGTACAGGATCGGGATCAGGGGGCAGTAACCAAGGAAAAGTTTTCTGTTTGCAGATAGAATGCCATAATTTGCACACTGCACCAGATCGAGCGTTGTCCAGTGGCGAAGAGAGTTTGTCGAGAATCAACCTCAAGAAATCCTCTGGAAGTAGAGACCAATCAGTCATAGCACCCAAGAATGACCTGAACCCAAAGTAGGAAAGAGATTTCGTTACACATAAATACCCTCAGAAGTTATGATATAGTTTATTAGAGGCTATTAAAGTTGTCACTCTGTATAATTTTTGTTAGTAATTAACCGAAGTATAATGTAATTTTCACAAGACCTTCAATAAGTTTAGAAATCCAGAAAACCCCGATAATGTTTAATTTTTTTCACTTAACCCCATGTAAAATAGCATAATTTAAGCCTTGTTTGGATTGAGGGGAATAGGGGAGAAGGGAAGGTAGGGGAGACCTCCACCCCCGTTTGGATAGTGTTTTTAGGGGTGATGTGTTCCCCCTGATTCCCCTTAGTTCATCCCCAACAAAACAAAATTTACTCCCTCTCAATTTAGGGTGGCAGCGAAGGGAAGGGAACCCTTAACTTACTTTTTTTTTCTCCCCTATTTTCTATAGGGCTTGTTTGGATTTGCACTTAGTGAAGGGAAGTTAAGTGAACATAGGATAAGGAAAGTTAAGGCAACATGTAAAACTTATTTAGGAATTTAGTACATTACTCGAACACGGCGGTTTGACCGTCGTACTAGCGTCGATACGACCCGACACCAATCCGGATACGAAATACGGGTCGGATACGGTGGTTGGCACTTGGATACGGTGATGTGTGTGAATCGAAAAACCAAAAAAATAGAGAAAGAAAAGATGAGGAAGAATGGCCCGATCTTCGGGACCAGGGAGCTCGCAGCCCCCACCTCACCGCTGGTGACCCTGACGTACACGTCCACGACCTGGGAGGGATCGAACTTTGGCGGCATCTCTTCGCTTGCTTTCTACGGCTGCTATGGCAGCGGCTGCAGGGAGAGGGAATGAGGCTCTAGGGTTCTGGAGAGGAGCTGGGGTATTATTTGGATTTTATATGAGGATTGTGTGGCGTTGGGCTTCAGGTTGGGCCGCTTCAGTGAATATTTTTTAGTTGGGCTTCAGTGAATATTATATGAGTATGGGGGCCGTTGGATATGAGGATTTGTTGAGTTAGGCTTCAGGTTGGACCGTAAATATAGATATTCTGTAAATTTTTATGGTATTGAGATTTGAGACATGAAACTTGAGGATTGAATGTCAATGAGGCCCGATTATTGTTTTTATGGTGCATGGCCAAAGTTTCCCTTCTGCAAATATATATATTCTTTCTTATGTTTATGTGGAATATAAAGGCAAAGTTTCAAATGAGTTTACTTTATAATTTTAAGGAATGAGCTTATTTTATTGAGAATTTAAAATTAAACATAGTAAACCTGCTACAGTTAATATAAATTATATAATTATTAATTGCTTGCAGGTAATGAAAAGATAGAAGTTGAAAAGTTACAAAGCCTTTCACATGCTGAATTGTTGATTAAACGTTTAATATTTTTTATTGTCGTATCCCCGTATCCGTGTTGAAATTTAGGACGGTGTTCCCGGATCCAAAATTTTCAAAAATTTTGTATCCGACACTCGGATCCGTACCCGAGTCCAGGTAACATACCCAGGGAAACTTATTTCACCATGTTTAAGAAGTTTAATAAAGTGAAGGGAACGGAAAAATTCCCTTAAGCCTCAATGAAATCCAAACATGCCCTTAGAGTTTTGAAGGATGAAATCACCGAAAACAAAATTCTTGGGGACTGAGAGCCCCTTATCTGAGATCAAACAAGAGCAGAGAGATGGAGAAAGAAGACGGAAAAGTGATTTTAGGGTGGAAAAATGTAAAAAGGGACATGAGGAGCTTTTTTAAAAAAGTAGGATATTTTCATATTTTGACAGCAAAAAAAAATTTGTAGATTACATGTCAGAATTAACTATGTTAGTTTTTGGGGTTTTTTGAAAAACTTGTTTGGGTATAAGCAGATCATTCAAACTTATTGGAGGTCAAGTGAAAAATGTCCAAAGTGATTGGGGGTTTTGTGAAATTTACCCAAAATAATTAGAACATGATTGGAGTAACTAGGATTATAAAAGATAGAAAGAAGAAAGTAGACTCTTAACAATTTAGAGTTCACAAATTGTGATCAACTTAATATATCAAAAAGAAAAAAAAATCAAATTAGGGATCTAAACTGATATGGATTATTAGAACAAATCCACGTTTTATCCTCTTGGAGACAGATATGGATATCAAATGCCCTATTCTCCTAAATTTCAAAATTGGATTTTTTTCAACTACAACTACAAATTTGGATATTATGGTCCTAGGTAACAGATCCACTTGTTTGGAACCAATTAGTTTTTAATCGATGATCAAGTTCTTCAACATCTGTTCTGATAATTATCCTACTTGTAAGCCAACTCAAGTCCAATAATATAATTTTGATTTTCTTAAATTCTTTCGGCCTATTCCTTTCTGTTCAAGAAAAATCCATATCCAATTCATATTAGGTAGACTTCAAACATAGTATAATTTATAATACGATCCTTTTTCGCAATTCTTATATCATCCTATTTTGAACCTATACATGGTGATCTTCAGTTGGAACATCAATAGAACATTCAAGAACAATCTCTTTTGAAACCTCATGATTTTAGAGTTTTTAGAGTTCCACGTGTCAATGAAAATTTAATTATCTAAAATTATGTTGAAAAAGAGAGGGTTGTTGGGTACCGACTCAAACTCCAAGTCAGATACGGGTTTGAAGGTTAGGCCCAGTCCTAGTAGTTTTCTTAGAGGCCAAGTTAACTTGACAGACAAATCAAGGGTGTCTTTAAATAAGATGTCATATTCTAGGATTTTAGAGTAGAGAGAAAGAGATAGACAATATTCTTGTAATCAGGATTTTAGAGGGTGTAACCGGGTTCAAGGGTATTGTGTGAGAGAGGGTTTGACAATCTTTGTTCGTGCAAAAGATTATAATTTAGAGGTGATAGTGAATTGATTTTGATCCTGTGATTTTTTTCTTATTGAGAGTTTTCCATATTAAATCTCATGTGATTCTATTTGCTACGGTTGGTGATTTTTGGGGTTTTTATGAGATCTAAAAATCCTAATAAATGGTATCAGAGTCAGGTTTGATGATCTGTGGAGGTTTGAGCAGTGCGCGATTGATGAAGACGTCAGTGGTCGAAGCGCGGTGATCGACATCGTGGGAACGAAAAAAAAGAAAAGTATTGTAGCAGCGGGAATATTGTAGCAGAAGGAATCTTGTAACGGCGTAACACTATTCATGTTGGTGAGGGTTTGGTTATAAATTGTTAAAATCAAATCCAATGGTACAGATTGATTTGTCTTTTGATCGAGGGTTTGGAGGCGGATTTTGGTGATCATGGAGTCGTTCCTAGGGTGTTTTGACGTGCTGAGTTTGTTGTTGACCTCAGCTTATCAAATTCAATCTCTACAGTGACTGATTTAAAATTTAATTGTGGTTAGAGGATGATTTCTTCGGGTTCGAAATTCGATATTCCGCTATTCAACAGCAAGACAAATTTTGTAGTATGGCAATGTATGGTTCAAGATATTCTTGTGCAGTAGGGTGTTGATTAAGTTTTGAAGGAGAAGAAACCTAAAGGGTTGAAGAATGCTGAATGGTGTTCCATACAAAAAAGGACGGTTAGCACAATTCGTTTGATACTCACCTCTGAGATCAAGTATAATATTATGCAGGAGACCACACGAATGGGGTTGTGGGAAAGGCTCGATGGGATTTATGCGTCGAAGACGATGACTAACCGATTGTGTTTGAGGATAGAGCTTTATTCATTAAAGATGAAAGAATGTACTGCAATTCAAGATCATATCAATACCTTTAATCAACTAGTTTGTTAACTTATGAATATTGATGAAGAGATTAAAAAAAAGCAGACGCTTCTCCTATTGCCTTCTTTGCCGAAGTCGTACAAGACGTTAGTTCAGACGATAATTGTAGGGAAGCAGACTTTAAAGTTTGACGATGTGACAGCACTCCTACGTGAGAATAAAAGAATGATGGGAAAGAAAAGCACATCTAATAGTGGTGAGAGTGCACTAGCTTTTGAAGGTTCTAATCGAGTGAGGAGTAAGGAAAGATTTGATAGTTTTCAAGGAAGGTCAAAATCTCGAGCCCGAAATGACAGCGAAAGTGAGTACTATTATTGTGGAGAGAATGGTCACATTCAGTTCAGATGTTCCCAGATTCGAGATGATTTGAAGAGTATTAGACAGAGGAAGCTTTAAAAATGGGAAGAATGTGGACTCCTCGATAGTTATGTGTGATGAAGATGTGGTGCTGTTGATGCAGAGTATAGGCACTGATGCGAGTAACACTTGGGTGTTAGATTCTACAGCCTCTATGCATTTACAACAACAAAAATTATTTTAACACATTAAAGGCATATGAAGAATTTGACGACGTGATCGTTGGAAACAACAAGAAGATGAAGGTTAAAGGCGTTGTGAGTGTTCACCTCAAGCTTCACACTGAAAAGGTTAAAATTCTTCGTCATGTGAGATATGTGCCGTCATGTAATGCTAACTTAATTTCATTGGGTGAGATGGCATCGTGTTGGTACAAGTTTTTTGGTGAAGGAGAGTGGTGCAAAGTGTATAAAGATGGTGATTTGATTTTACGAGGGAGAAAGAATAACAACCCTATTTGCTATTTAGATGAGCGATCTGTTCACAAGGGATGTGAAGAACAAGAAGAAGAGAGTGAATTTTTCTGAAGCCATTGAAACACTTGGAGATTTTTCGTCGAGGGAGGATACGTTGGCTACCGACTCAAACTCTAAGTCGGATGTGAGTTTGAAGGCTAGGCCCAGTCCTAGTAGTTTTCTTAGAGGCCAAGTTAACTTGACGAGCAAGTCAGGAGTGTCTTTAAAAAAACGTCTTATTCTAGGGTTTTAGAGTAGAGAGATGGAGAGAGACAATATTATTGTAATCGGGATTTTAGAGGGTGTAACCGAGTTCAATGGTATTGTGAGAGAGAGGGTTTGACATTCTTTGTCCGTGCAAAAGATTATAATTTGGAGGTGATAGTGGATTGATTTTGATCATGTGATTTTTCCTTATTGAGGGTTTTTCACGTTAAATCTCGTGTGATTATATTTGCTGCGTTTAGTGATTTTCGGGGTTTTTGTGAGATCTAAAAATCGCAACAATGGTTATATGTTATCACAATTGCTTAGAAAACTAATAGAACATCTGCAATCAGAGCTTTTGTGGTTCAATTACTACGTCAACCACTAAATTTGATGTCTACAACCCGTTAATGATGCATAAAAATGGTAATAAAAAAATGCATAAAGATAGATACAAATAAAGAATGATGTCTACAACTTACCTTGATTTGACATGCACCTAAAAATTTATTTGCAAGTAAAGGATGAAATGTTTCAAACTTTTCTAATATTGGCGATGTTCCTAACTTTTCTAAGTTTTCTAATATTGGAATTGAGTTTTAATGCAAAAGGCACTGTCAAGTGCAATTATAGATGATACGATTTTCCTTTTTTTCTTTCCTTTTTTCATGTTTACTTTTTGTGATGTGTAAACTTGTAGTTTTAAATTACTTCTATACAGATCACAAAGAACTTGTATGTTTATATATTTCATGGTTTAAAAGGGACATATTTTCAGATAAGGGTAATTTTTTAAAAAAAAACCTCTAAGCTTTATAGGATTAACAGAAAACCCCTTGAGATTTCAAAAGTGATAATTAATCCCTCTGTTCCAACTTATATGGAATTATCTTAGATGAAAAAAAAATTGTTACACGGTGTGACAATTATCTATGACTTTACTGTTACACAAAAATGTATAGGATTATTACATTGAAAATTGACAAATACAATGAAAATTGACAAATACAATGAAAAATATGATGACTATTTGGCTAGAATTTGAAAAAAGGGGGTAAAGTCTCACTTTTAAAATCTTAGATGGATTTGTTACAATCCCTACGAACTAGAGGATGTTTTTCTGTAAGATACCTTAAATATAATAAAAACCTGGGAGGTTCTACAATATTTTTGTGCAGCCTGAATCTAGGAGTTTGGACATACATGCAAAAGAGGGGTACGACACAACATAGAGATATAAAATAGTTGAATGGGCGCGTGTTGGCATGAACATCTGCTCGTACATGTATTTGCAAGCATTGACACATCAAAACCCTCAGAAGTTATGATACAGTTTGTTAGAAGCAACTAAAGTTGTTAGTCCATGGATTTTGTTTGTAATTACTAAAAGTAATTAGAACATGATTGAAGTAATTAGGATTATAAAGGAAAAAAGAAAGAGAGCAAGAAAAACCTTAACAATTAGAGTTCATAAATTGTGACAAAGTAAATATATTAATAAAAGAACTAAAACCGCAATCAAATTAGGGATGGAAACTGATCTGGATTATAAGAACAAATCATTTTATACTGTTAGATGCGTATATGAACATCAAATATCCTATTCTCCTGAATTTCAAACTTGGAGTTTTTGCAGCTACAGCTACGAATTTGGATACTATGCTCTGAGGTAATGGACCCACTCGTCTGGAACCGATTAGTATTTCACCACTTAAGCATGCATTATCCTACGCATGCATTATCCTACTCGTAAGTGAGCTTAAGTCCAATAATGTAAGTTCTAATTTCTTAAATTAGTTCGGCCTTTTCCTTCTATCTCCATAATAAATTTTGTTTACTTCAGTAAGAGTTTGCATCAAACAGGTGAAGTGCGCATCAATTTGTATCGGATGCGGTTATTGGCTCTACTTGAATTAGTATCCGTCTACTCAGATTTGTACCCATATAAGTTTTGATCAGATAAACACAGTAGATTTGCTGTTCAAGAACAATGCATATTCAATTTGTAATCGGTAGATCTCAGATCGTATAACTTTTATCTGAGTTGTCTTTGAGTTGTTCGCATCCCTATATATATCCAATACATTAAGCAATACAAGTCTATGAAGATAACATGTTGGCGGGGTGCCTAGTTTCCAATAACAATGTACTCTGCTACTAACTATCAGTACTTTTCTTATGTGAAGGGATCTCATCTTATTTAAATGGAAACAACTCTTAGGATGTTCGGCATGCAACCTTCGGATTTTTCTATAGATCCAGTGTGATGGAAACTACATATGAACGTATATCAGTAGGATCATATCCATTCCCTTCAATTTTACTTCTTTGCAGCGCTATGTTATATGCAGATAGTCCTTTATTTTTACAAAATTAAGTAATGCATAATAACCAAAAAAGGATACTCTTTCAGAATCCAGGAAAACATACAACAAAATTCAACATAGTTCCATCATGTCATCTCAAGTATATATAGCCCTAACAATTACCAAAACATGGATAATCATTAAATGACAATTTTGTAATGTGAAGTTCAAATGTAAATGTGAAATTATATAATGTTCTTAATATTCTTGATCCGGCAAATAATTCTTCCAGCTTTGCTTAATGGTTCCTAATGTCAACCCACAAAAATAATTCATATTACTGTAAGCATCTCGAGCAACCCATAATTAGGGGATAAGACGTCGAAACACGAAAACGTTTCAGGTGATCTATACAGATGAATTCCAAAATCTTTTAATGATCCCCCAATCACTAAGAGCTTATGCATAAGTTCCTTGAGAGAGAAGAATTTATATTCATAATCTCTTAAGTTTTCAACCCATGGAAATCTAAAATCATATCTACGTCCCTTCACAGAAATGTTTTCACAATCTATATCCTAATTAAGAACGTACACATGGCAATATTTATGCTTGGAACAATGAATAGGACATTCAAGATGTAATTTTTGAACCTTTACAAGTTAGAAAACTGATAAAAGAATCTGCAATCGGAGCTTTTGCGATGAAATTCTAAATTAACCGCTAAATTTGATGGTGTAACCCGCTAATGATGATGTATAAAAGATTAACGGGGTTAATTACTAACCTCAAAATTGTTCCTTTTGTTGTTCTTTCCTGTCGCTTGCTCTTCTTGCTTCTTTCTTTTTCACCTCTCTCCAGTTTGAGGCAGTCTGATTAAGTTTTGATTTGTTAGTAAAAAAGGGCAAAATTCCCTGATTTTCTGCGATTCCAGTTATGGGTTAATTGCAGATAGAGCCCTATACTAATACCCAATTGCGGATAACATACCTAATACTATTACCCCCCTTATAGTTTTACTATTGCATATAGACCATAAGCCTCAAAGCGAGAATTTTGTTTTTTGATTAAAAAAAATTCACCCGGAAGGCAAAAGAGTCAAAAAAAAAAAAAAAAAACATCCTAAGTTTCTATCTCATGAGTGGGCAAGAGTATAAAGGGTCTATCCAAGAGAATAGAAGTATAAGGGGTCATGTCATAATTGGGCAATAATAGTGCAAGGGGCAACTCATAATTAACCCCTAATTAATTTGCTAGTGATTGTCAACTGTCAATTTTAGTAATAACTGCGGCTTTGGCCTTAGGGGGTGTTTGGTTCAATTTCTAGAAATTATAGGAAATTTTTTCCACCTAAAATATGATTTCCTTGTATTTCTTAAAAAAATTATAGGAAAAGTTTTGAGAAATCAAAAAGTACCAATTTTCTTGTTTTTTATACTTTGCTTGTTTGGTTCAAAACAAGAAAATAGCTCATAACTTTATAGAAAATAACAAGATTTGGTAGGTTTTTAATTAAATATGGTATGTGTCAGATTTCTGGTGATTTCCTCTCATTTTGAGAGGAAATTGTTTTTTGTAAAATTTGGTAGGTTTTGATATTTTAAAGAAAATATTTCTGTAAATTTTTTGTAGAACCAAACATAATTTACAGAATTCTCTAGAAAAAATTTAATTACAAATTTGCCATTTTCAGATGTTTTGAGAAAAGTTATCTCAAAAAGTGTGCAACCAAACAGCCCCTTAGTTTATAAGGGGGTGTTCGTTTCGCTTTTTTTTGGGATATAGGTCGGATTTCAAGTTTTGGGATGTAAAAAGTGTTTTTTTTAGTTTTGGTATTCTATAAACTTTGTTTGTTTCAAAATTAATTTTGGGATATTAAATCCCTAAATTATAAAAAAAATAATATATTTTTAAGATTTGTGAAATCTTCTCTTTTGTTTCAATATTTTTTTGGGATATAAGGTGGATTACAAATTTTTTGGGTTTTAGAATTTCATAAACCATGTTTGTTTCAAAAACAATTTTGGGATATTGAATCCCCAAATTATAAAAAAACTATTATATTTTTGAATTTGTGAAATCCTAACATTGAGAGAGGATTTAGGTTGGATATTGAACCCCCAAATTATAAAAAAATATTATATTATATTATATTAGCATGCTATACTATACAATAATTAATATAATATAAGATTAATATATTATATATAATATTATAATAATATAATATTTAATATAATACATCTATTCCTCTATAATAATAGGAGGACCCAAGAATCACTGTTCATGCTATAGTAAATGCTGCAGTAAATTACTGTAGCATTATATATATATATATATATATAATATATATAATATATATAATATTTATATATTATAATATATATTATATATAATATATAAGAAATATAACGATTCATGCTGTAGTAAATCCTGCGCAGTAAAATACTGTAGCATTATATATATATATATATATATATATATATAAATATATATATATTATATATATATAGAGAGAGAGAGAGAGAGAAGAGAGAGAGAGAGAATAATATGGTATGTTTGTACCAAGCACAAAAGTTGTGGCTTGGTAGTGAGGTGTCACATCTCCCTCCACTCTATCAAAGTGGGACCACATTCATATGGGTAATGAGTAGATGATGATGTGACACATCACTACAAGCAGACCCATATTTCTCATATATATATATATATATGAGAATAATAGAGGTGAGCTGGCAGCTCACCTCTCCCCAGTGAGCGCAAGTGTATGACATGTGAGCCCCACAACGATTGACTAAGTAGGGCTCACATGTCAATACTTTGTAGCTCACGGGAGAGGTGAGCTGCCAGCTCACCTCCGTATTATTCTCTCTCTTCCTCTCTCTCTCTCTCTCTATATATATATATAAAAAATATAATATATATATATCTAAATATAAAAATATATATATAATATAATAATATAACATATATATTATACATATTATATATATTTATATAATAAATATATAATTATATAATATATATATATATATATATATATATAAATATATATATATATATATATATAATATATAATATATATATATATATATATATATATATATATATAATATAGTATTAATATACAAGAATCAATGTTCATGTAGTAAATGTTGCAGTAAATTACTGCAACATATTATTTATTATATATATATAATATATTATAATATATATATATATATAATATATATATATATATATATATATATATATATATATAATATTATATATATATGTATTAAAATATATTATATATAATATATAATATATATAATATATATTATATATAATATATATATTATATATATATAATATATATTAAATTATAATATATATTTATATGCAAGAATCACTGTTCAGGCTGTAGTAAATTACTGTAGCATTATATATATATATAATATATATATATTATATATAATATATATATATATATAATATATATATAATATATATATATATATAATATATATATATATATTATAATGATAATTATAATAATATATATTAAAAGGTATCATGTTATAGTATAATATATTATATTATTTCAAACTATAGTATTATATTATATTATATCATAATATATATATAATATTGTTATATTAGTTTAATATTATTATATTGGTTTAATATAATACAATATAATATAATGGATAAAAAAATATCTATTATAATTAATATAAAATATTATATAATAATATATGTTATTAAAATATTATATAATATTATAATATATATTTTGTAATATTATATAATATAGTATGTGATATTGCATAATAATATATAATAAATATCATAAAATAAATTATACCTATAAATTACAAATTACAGTATTCCAAATCCCAAAATATTGATGAAACAAATAAAATATTACAAATTATAGTATTCCAAATCCTAAAATATTGATGAAACAAACAAAATTTTAGAGATCCCAAAACCCACAAAAAAAATTATGGATTTCAAATTCTATGGTGAAATCCATATCCATAAATTTTGGGATTTGAAACAAACACCCCCTAAACATCTCAGCTTTTGTCCAACAAGATAAAAATATCACCATTTATTACCTGCAAATCCTGCTTTAAAACCGAAAAAAAACCCAACCTTTAAGATCGAATGAAAATATATACATGTATTATTAGCCATAGACATGTTTTTTGTTATATTTTCTAGAGCATTTAGGAGATCTTAATTAAAAGACAAATAGAAGACAGATCCGCATGGTTGCTCAAAAAAAGAGAGAAATGAAGGATTTGGAATCTGACCCCTTAGTCACATAAGATTTTAATTTCTAGACATTTTCATTCTCAGCGTTTGGTCCGCTGGGTGATTTAAAGAAATCGGGGGTGAAATGGGGTGCCACATTAGATTTTGTAAAAAACTCATTTCAGACCAAAAGTGGCTCAAATGGATGAGAAATATCACATCGTTGAATATTTAATTACTAGATTCACTGTTGAAACGACGGCGGGAAGGTAAAATGTAATATTTAATATACTGTTGCTGAATATTTAATTAGAAAACTCATTTGATTTCTTAACTTTTGTTTGTTCAAACAAACCCAAGAAATGGAAAACAATGTTTTCCAACCTATGATTTTAAATATGAAACAAACCAAATAAGCCAAATGGGGGAAACCCTCTGAAATGTCCAGAGATGGTTTTCAAAGTAGTTTTCCGTTTTTTTTCCTTCCGGGAATGTACCAAACAGACGCTTATAATCCGAACTCTTTAAAAATGGTTTTTGTATTTTCACCCTCATTAATCATTAATTTCAAATGAGGTGTTTTTTGAGAAAACCCAAACCACCGATCTCCTTGCTTGCTCTAGTTCTTTTTTGTTCTAAAATCTCGAAAGAAATGGAGACGAAGCCGGAGAAGGAGAAGTCGCCTGCTTCTCTCAGATGGGGAGTCCTTCGCCGCGCCTTGATCTCTTCTTCCAAATCCTCCTCCGGTATCTCTCTCTGTGTGTGTGTGTGTGTGATTTTGATTTATAAATCCATTGTTGTATTTGATATCGATTCTGATTTTGAGGAATCTGTGAGCTGTACGAGCTGAGATTTGAAATGTATCCCTAGTTTTGCTTTAGGTCTGACATCCAAAGGAGTTTATTTTCTTATAACTTGTTACTATAAGTTGCCACGAAGAATTTCCAGCTGGGGCAAGTTCCAAAGCTTGCAACTTTTTACTGCAAAACTCTGAAAGCTCCGACCTTGAACGCTTTACCTCTAGTCTACAGATAGCAATATTTGTGTGTAGGGTGATTTACCTTTGTTAATATGTTTAGATATGGTATTCCTTCACGAAGTGCATAATGCCTTTTGTAAAAGATCTGTCGATTGCAGTATTGCATAAAACTTTTCATCAACTCAGATTACTTCCCAATTAATGTATGAATTGCTTTGCAGAATGTTCACACCAAATAGGGGTGAAAAAGATAACTCGGAAGACTGTTCGTGGTTTTAATCTTGTCCCCTGTCGTCCAGTATATGACCATTCATCAGAGGACTTCTGCAGTTCGTTGAAGTCTCAAAATTTAGCTGGTCCCAAAGATGTATGTGTCTGCTACGAGCTGCCTGTCATAAAAGCTCCAAAACTTACCATGGTGTATGTTTCACATTGCCTTACATGCATTTTGTTGTCGTTAGTTGTTAACTATCAAAATTTCATATTGTTTGCTTCAAATGTTACCATCATAATTTATTATTATTTGCTTCATATATTAATTTTTAAGGCCCCATTTGGTTTTGAAAGGTTTAATTAAAAGGAATTAAGGAAATGGATTAACATAGTTAGCCCATTTGTTAACCTGAAGGGTTAAATTTGTTAATCTATTAGGTTAATTTATTTTAATCATTGTGATCATTTTTTGTGTTTGGGAATAAAATGAATTATGATCACTTTTCTTTATTAATAGAGGGATTGTCTCTTAATTCTTCTAAATAGGCGAATTTTTAATCCCCTCGTTTGAAGAATTAACTCATTTTAACCCATTTTGAGGGATTTGTAAATCCTTCTTCTATTTTTTTGTGTTTTGCAAATTAGGAGGCATTAATTCACTTTACACCATGACCAAAGTTTCTGTGTGTGGCATGCTAAAGAAGCATTAATTCTCGTTAACGCCTAACTTAGCCCTGAGCCAAATAGCACCAGTGTTTTTCTTTCTTGATCAAGACTGAGATAAAGGTCCAACAACAGAAGGGTGCTGCTAGAAAGTCCTTATCCTAGAAAGAATGCACACCATTTTGAGATATTGTAAGCCATATTTAGATTTTTTTTTCTTAATCCCTTGCCATTGATTCCTCTAAACCTTGCATGGGTTGGTGATGTTGAATTTCTAAGTCCTAAAAATATTTCAAGTGTACAGCTGTCTAGTTGTAGTTCTTACAGGTTGATCCATAAGGAAGATGGAGTTTGAAAAGGTCTTTTAATCAAGATATTGAGGAAAGAGTTTGAGAGATTTGTTGATTAAAAACTATTTATGAACTAACTAGGTACTTAGGATAGAATCTAGTAGGTTGATTACTACTTAGATGTATTGACTCTTCTCTTTTTTTTATTATCTTATTTACTTAGATTTGAAAGCCATAAGCTATGTCATATTTTAATGTCTATAACCTATCAATTTAAACGTAGCAAATTATAGATTCATGAACAATTATTCTAGACTAAAAGATAACCCTAGAAATAATCAATTAAGCATAGGCTATGCTATATTTAAATGTTTATAACCTATCAAAGTCTAATTATTCTATCAACTATTGATAGCCTAGACTAATTAGAACATGAATAAATTAAACACAATAGAAAGAATTAATAATCTAAGCAAAACTAGCATAGCTTCACCATCCTAAGCAACCTAAACTAAGTTAGCTATACATGATGAAAGAAAAACAAATAAAAACAAAAGAAGTAAAAGAAGACATTGCAAGATTTAAGGAAAAGAAGAAAACTTTTAATAAACAACACTTACAGAAAATAAGTTCTACAATGAAGATGACCTTCCTCTCAGATAGCCAAGCCCTCAATTGAATTACAGGATCAATTGATCAATTGATGAAAAACAACAGAAGTCTAGGGTTCTATTTATAATATATACGAGATAGGATAGGAATCCCTCACAGCTGTAGGATTTGACTTGGAATATATGATTGAGGAAATCAGTTGATCAAATCTGAGATCAATATCTTTTGGACCAGCCTCCATTGGTTCAAAAAAGAACTAGTTTACCTAAAAATTGTGCCAGAATCAGTCCTGGCCTAGATTTGAGGGTTTTGTCAAACACTCCTGTAGTGAATTTTTTTCCTACTTTCTCAGTGCGCACGGTGCTCCTACTGATTACTCCCGACATTTGGTGAAGGATCTATCCTAGGCCCTTGTCCATTTCTTGGTTGTATTGCATTCATTCAGGTCCTCATAAATGGTGCAAATTGTTTCAGCTAATGTGGGCCTGATAGGGGGTCATTTACTCCTAGTTAAAGAGAAAGGACGGAGGTGGAAATCTAAGTAACAGCAAAAAATAGGGTGAATCATGTTCATTTTCTGCATTGAAAGTCTTGATTAGCTAAGGAAAAGGTAATCAGCAGTTAGGGAGTGAAAGCAAGTACCAAACAAGATGTCAAATGATTAAGGTGAAAATTTAGAGTCATTATACTATTATGGCTGTCCTGATGTGAACTTTGGCTACCTTAAAAAAGGTGTAGTTCGAATGCACACTAGTAGGAAAAATCCATTGTGACCATTCTCTAGAATTATATTTTGAACAATGAACAAGTGTATGCACATAGCTCATATATACCTGGAAGAGGAAAGCACCATCATCATTATCATCTTAACAGTTATCTTTTTTTAACATCTAATGCACATTAGCATGAACGCTAGTGCTGGTGCAGTGTTGTGTCTACTATAGAGCCTAAGTCAATATTTATTAGGCCTTATTAAACTGAAGATATGATGTTTACCATTTCTGATCTTGCTTCAATTTGGTGATTGATCTTGCTGTGCAAGCTATAACGAGAGGAAATCTTGCCTTTTGACCTGCTGGGCCTCTTGACATAGGTAACTTAAACCTCATCAGCTATACAGTTTGTGCTGATTACAGTGTTCTTCTAACATTCTCATAGACTAAGAAAACGCTGAAGGGACATTGAATACATTTCCAAACAATCTTCATGCTGCTTTCTAGCTGCATGTGAATTTAATTTGTACTTTAATACTTTGATGTACGTCATTCAACAACACTCTTCAAAGTGACTGCGAGTTTTGGATATGTATTGGACCTATTGGTGCATTCTGTCCAATGCAGTAGGAAGTTAACTAATCTTTTGTTTATTAATCATCAACTTCTGCAGCCTTCGCTGTAATATGCACTCTTCAGTCAAGAATTAACAATCGAATACTATACAGAAACAACACAACAACGCCCTTGTCCCCAAATTTTTGGCGTCATCTACATGAATTCTGTTCTTTAATTTGTTCAATTTCATTTACTATGTATAGAAACCTTTTTACAGGTTCATTAAAATAACTAACGGTCATGTACATAGTATTCTGTACCGCATCATTGAAGCGGTTATAATCTTATTCGGAATGTTTCTCACTATTGTTTATTGCATTTGTGTAAATAATTTTTGTGATATTGAAATTTGCTATTTACACAATTTTGGTGTTTATATATAATTCTGACCTTGTTACTTTACAATGGCTTTTCTCAATTAAGTATCCATTATCTTGTTGCTAACTTATTACATGATAAACTCTTTGAACAAGGACTCAAATCAAGCACATGTTGCTAACCTCTAAAAGACACTTGTTGCTGACCTCTAAAAGACACATGTTGCTAACCTCTAAAAGAAATTCTATCTGCAGTCAAAGGAGGGAGGACTGCGTTGATCTGGATGATTTTGCGGCCTCTTCTAAGTATAATATTGACACCACAGGACTAGTATGTAAGTATTCTGTGTCTAATGCAAAATCGTCACGTCATATATGTCCATATTAATCATATTTCTTGAGGCCAGCAAAGAAACAATTCACTTTTATGTCATCTTGATCATTAATAAAACAGTCTTTCTTCTATTCATTGCACATATTGCATTCATAGTGACATTTGACGAAACATTCCTTCTAATTGTGTATAAAGATTTCATAACTTCAACCATATATTTTGAGAGGCATATAAACTGTTGTTGATAGCAGCAATCCTTCAAACTTATGCCTTATAAACTAACTAATGCAATCTTTTGTCCTCAAATTAATGGGATATTAAACGTCTGAATTACCAATTTACCAAATATGAGGGGTGAAATTAGCAGCATCCTCTGTTTCCAATCCTTAAATAACGGGTAATGGGATTTTAAGCTTTCTTACTGTCAACTACATTAAATCTGAATTGTTTTAAACTTCTTTATCCCATTTTCAGTATCAGTCATGAGAGAAAGAAGTACTGTTTTACTGTTATTTCTTAAATTGTCTCGAGAGGCTTCAGTTAGGCCCTGCTCCAATCAGTATCTGCTTGCAAAATTGCTTCTTGATTACACTACAAATGTCACTGAAAACAAAAGCACGCCAGTTTCTTTTGAAGAATTTAATTATTCAAAATTGTTTGAATAAGTTTCATGCGAATTTTAGAATCACACAACAACTGATCATTTTTAATGCCTCCTAATATCCTTTGGTATTTTTATTATTACATGAGTTGTATTGATTCATAATTTGGTTTTAGGTGCATCATGCCTCCTAATATCCTTTGGTATATTTTCAATAATTAATTTATTATCTAAATGGTGCATCATGCATGAAGTTTACACTACTGCCTAAGTTCGTGTAACAAATTAACAATCCTCCAAAGTTCTCCTAAAATGGAGAGCGTCTAGAAGGAAAAGATGATAAGTTAAGGAAAAAGATGATCGATTTTCTATGTGCAGAAGTACATTCAACTCTTAGGCACAGTTAAAGGCGAAATAAGGCATACCTGATCTATAACTGAATTTAATAACCAACGTAGTTAATGTGGTAAATCCCACATCGAGGATTGTAATTAACTTATTCGAACTTTTCTTTTTACTCCTTGCATGCAGGTCCTTGGCCATCAGAAGACGTTCTTGCTTACTTTTGTATAAAGCATTCAGATATTTTCAGGTGTCCTATGTATATGACCTTACATTTCGACAGTTCTTAAAATTTTATTTCTGATTTTTTTTAATCAACTATTGTTGACTACTATTGGCTACTTTCATCTAAGATGAGGGTGGCATTTCTTGTTCAGTTCTTCTCGTGCACTCTTGTGTGCTCATATAAAGGAGCCTACGATGAATAACAGGAGTATGAAAAAAATACATGAAAAATTATAAGGCAATTGTTCCCGTCATATGCATTACCCATAGCAAAAGGAACAAACTTCAGCTTCTGGAGATGGTCAGTTGCATAGTATAAATTGACTAAGACGAAAATGGCATATCTTTTTGCTTGCATGGTCCTCTCTGTGCCTGCGTGTGTGCCAATGCCAGTGCACAACATGTATACCTTGTTTATCAGTGCATTAAAAGGACATGTTTGCCTTTTTTTTTTTAAATACCAGTTAGGTTTGCAATCCAGCTGCCCAAAAGCTATATATAGATACAGGCTTCAACTTTTGTTATTATGTTATCAGTATTTTTCCATGCTTAAACGTATCCATATTAGGGGGAACTTTCTTTTTTTTTAAATTATATATAACTTACTTTTTGGCCTACAGCCTTGCATAATCTGACTGCTTGCTGAATGAATTACAAAGGTCCAAAAGGGTTCTGGAACTTGGCTCTGGCTATGGCTTGGCTGGATTGGCAATTGCAGCAAGCACCGATGCTAATGAAGTTATGATTTCTGACGGAAATCCACAAGTTGTTGATTGTATCCTTGCATCTTGGCTTTTTCATGTTTCTTTAATTTAATGCCTAAAGAAATGGTGAAATGCTTAAACTGCTTAATGTTTTTGTGCTATCATTTCGAAGTTTCCTTAGAATATTAGCAGATCTGAATAACATCTATATGCCCATTATTCTTGTGATATTGTAAGCTTCATACTTCAGTATTTGTTGTTGGAGATTATATATGTTCTCGCAATAGCTATTAGATGATTAGATCAAATCCGGAAGGTGTGTTCTGTCAATGAAGAATTTCCATTTTTAGTTGTAAGTTAAACTAAGTCCTGTTTGGCTTGGTGTAAGGGTGTAGGAGTTTCACGCTTTTAGAAAGAGGTGTAGGGAGATCAGTTCATTTTGGGTGACATCAAGAGTTATCTCTACACTAGCTTTGAGCTGGTGGAGGAGTTGGGCAATTTCCCCCCAAATTGTGGGATCAATGTTCGTAAAAATCTTAAAAGATCCTAACATCACGTCTCGACTTATATTTACCAGCCAACTCATGCAATTTTGGGCATTTCACAAGATTTAGCTGGTAACACCAGCTAACTCTTGTACTTGTAGTCTTGTTGCCAAAGGCTGCTGCTTTACATGGAGAAATTCTGAAAACACGTGTGCTGCATTATTCTGGTTGAATATTCAAAAAATTTATGATTGAATATTCAAAAATATTATTCTGGTTGAATAATAGGGCTAGATGCATGTTAGCTTCGTTCCTCGTGGTTTTAGCGATAGAGCTTGTTTTAGTGATGCCAATAGGTTCTTACCTCATAATTAACTCCCTATATTTCAATAGAACTGAGAAGTTAGCCACATTTTCCTACCAGATGATTTCTGTAGATTACATTGGTTAATATAAATAGATGGTCTGTTTTTGTATATATTTGCCTATCCGTTTATTTGAAGTGAAATACTATCATCATCTAAGGTTGCTCTCCCCTTAGAAAGTTCCATGGAGATGAATTTTCAAATGACCACCAACTTGTGCTAGCATATGATTTGGTGCAAATTTGCTATCTTAGTAAAGTGATCACATGACAGGAGCTTGCAATGTCTGAACAGTCAATTAAAAAGTCAATTTATTGTTATGGAAGTTAAGCTCATGCTATCATGGAAGTAGTTTAATTAAATGATAAGAATCCTTAGTTCATGGTATAAGCTCATTAATGATGCTTCTTAATAACAATGTCAATGTTAATATACACTTCTCTTGTTATGGCCATGTGAACTAGTTCTTTACTAGTGGTAGTATTGGTGAGAACTATTCGTTCTCAATTTAGGATTTTTGTAATTAGATAGTTCATCTCTATTCTTAAACATGCAAAAAGACAAAATTTGCTCAAGATGCTCTATGGAGTTTTTTTTAAAGTTTATATACACAACAATATTACAGAAGGCGCTAGGCGGACTAAGCGTTTGAGCCAGCGCCTAGTCCCTAGACGCCTAGGCGTTTGGCTATTTTTAAAATTATTTAATTATAATAATTAATAAAGATATGTATTAAATTTATATAAATTTGCAAAAAAAAGTCAGCAATCCTAGATCAACAATAAACGATGCATACTTAAATGCTAAATAGCCAAAATAATAACTAACAAGGTTATAGAAAGAGCTAGGAGGCGTAGGCATTGGACTCGTCGCCTAGAGCCTAGGAGATTTTTTTTTTAATTTTTTAATTATAATAATTAATAGTAAATGTTAATGTTATAAGAAGCTTAGGTGCCACTCTGGTGGCTAGGCGGATTTCTTTCCTCATTAAAGTGATGGTCGAGAAAGTTTTGCTAAAGGTTGGAGGAGATAGTGAAGGTGTTTATATTTGGAGGTTAAAGGATTTTGAAGGAGATTAGAGGACGTGGAGACTGCAACACAGAAAATTACGATCAAGGTCTAAAAAGTGCAATCCACGTAAGCAAACAGTGCTCTCCTAAACACTCAAAACCTAGGTGGGTAGCCTAGGTATCACCTAGATGCTAGGTGCTAGTTAGACGGCTAAGGTACCGCCTAGGCCTAGGTGTACACCGCGGACTAGGCAGAGGCTTTTTAAAACACTGTACACAAGTGGCACTGTTAATGTGAAAATTATTTTAAACATTTTCTATATATTTTTAATACTCTGATGATTGGAGGATCATATGCCACTTTTTTTTCTGTTATAATATATCAGTTTACTATATGAAAAAGCAAGATCTCATCTCACAAAGATGTTTTAAAATTCATCTTGTTGACAAAATCTGCTTGGTGTTATTTCTTTATTCACTGAATGAAATTATACTTAACATGTCAACATTTTGAAATTTCATGATATGAGTATCTTTGATGTACTTAACTAGTCAGTAAACATATCTGTAGCCAGTGGTTGAACTTTCTTATCTGTTTGTCTTTGACATCTTTATCTTCCTGAACATCCAGATATTCAGCGTAACATAAATTTCAATGTTGGCATTTTTGGGAATTCAAAAGTAAACTCAATGCTATTACATTGGAACCAGAACCAAGCTACAGATTTCCTGAATTCTTTTGATATTATTGTTGCAAGCGACTGGTATGTAGGTCTAACTTCTATTATATGATCCTTCGCTTGAATCTACTCTTGTGGTGTTATTATAAGTACTTTAAAATATGGTGACGGAATGATACTTTGTCTTATGTGTATTTTGGTAAATGAACAATATTAGCATGGGCAAGAGTGCACTCACAGCACACATAGATACCCTGATATGTTAAATCTGTTGGATCACACTGAAAGGACATGCCTAAAAGAGATATATCACGATATACTTTTCATTGGTGTTTAATTGTTTTTCCATATGATAAATGCTAAATATCCATATTATTTCAGGATTCTATGCAGGCAAGTCATCTTAGCTCTACATCTTCTTTCCCATGACATATTAAATGTGTCTTAGTAGAGATGCAGGCACTTTTTAAAAGCATGAACCCTCAAAGATACCTTTTCCATCGTAGGAAAAGACAGAACACAACGATAAACAGAAACATTTTACTAACGTGTTTCAGCCATTCCGATGTGAATCTAAACTAATCTTGATTTATCCTGTTATGCTTGTAACTCTCATGTTGGGTTTTTTGAATAAATAGTAAAGCTAGAAAAAAGGGGGTTAAACAAAAAAGAGCTTACAGTAGTGAAATCTCGGAAAATTATTTTGTGCCATCAGTGATGCAATCCCTTAATTTCTTTGGCTGGTGGAGGGTATCTGCTATGGGTAAATTACACTAAAACCCCCCAAAAATTTCAACGTTTTGTAGTAAGCCGCCAATAACTTTCAAAATCGCTCTAAACCACCAATAATTTTTGTAGAAAACCCCAATATCTTTGGATAGATTACACTAAACCCCCAATATCTTTCAAAATGCCTTTTATGTTGTTTTTTGTTCTAATTTATTGGGGATTTCTGCAAAACACAAAAGTTATTGGGTGTGTAGTATGATTTTGAAAGTTATCGGGTTTTACAGCAAAATGCTGAAAGTTCTTGGGGGTTTAGTCTAATTTACCCTTGTTTTATCATAGTAAACTTGTCAACCATCAATTTTTAGAGACTGCTATCTTTTCTTTCTTTCCTTATGTAGTTGTGTGAAGCAAATCAAAGGAAATCCACCAGAGATATTTGAGAATTTGGAGATGTCAGTGAAAGCCTGTTTGGAAGTTATGTGTCAGATATTGATGTGCTTTGAACTGAAATTCCAGACAAGTGTACTTCTCTAGTATTAAGTATTGATTTTGGCTCAATATAATGACATTTTTGTTAATCTACCACTTTTTGTTCAAATTTAAGATAAGAAGTGAAAGCAGGTTAATCCTGCTGCGAATATCAGGTTGATGTACATTTATCTGGAATAAACTAAAGTATTGATGAAATTTGCACATATGTAAGTAAAACAGTCCAGATACAGTTTTCTGTTCAATGTATATAAATGATTTCCTGTTCATAATTGTAAATTTACCTAATAAATCAATGTAAAGAATGAACCGAATGGGGTCAGGTTGCAAGTATGTGTTTTCTCATACTTCCCTCAATGGGAGTTACTGGTTCACGTCACCACTGATCCTTCAACCTGCACATCTACCCACCCACTAACACCACCACGTACAGATTTACATGCGTCCGCACCCTCACGCACGCACGCGCACACATCCAGCCACCCCATATACACGCAAAGATAAGCAAGTAATTGAATAAAGTACAAGTTGAAATCATTTTCTTCCCATATACTAGCTTTCTGAATATTATAACAATTATGAACAGCTTAAATCTTCACGACATGGTGCATAATGAATTAAAAAATTAATTAAATATAACGTCTCAGTAACATGTACATTTGCTATTTGTAGCACATTCTTCAAGGAATTTCATGAAAGCCTTGCTCATACAGTCAAATCCTTGTTGAAATATTCAGAGACCTCCGAAGCCATCTTCTTCAGCCCTAAGAGAGGCGATTCATTATTCAAGTTCCTAGATGTAATTGCTGATTTTGGGTTGCAATTTGAACTGGTCGAAAATTATGACGATGTAGTCTGGAATCTTCATCAGAAATTCCTCCATGGTAATGATAGCTCTTGGCCTAACTATACCAAAGATCACAGCTACCCTTTCTTAGTCAGGATCACTTTCTCAAAACAATAGCTTCCCGCAGTAATTTCATTTCAGAACCACTGTAAGGTATGAATTTTTTTTACTTTTCCTTTTGTTCTGATTTTATTTATCAACATGTATCATTCAAGCTTTATCATATACTTTTCTTAACTTTTCTTGCTGTAGGTGTGATCAATGTAGAAGCTTTGGATATAGCAAATCATAAGTCTGCTAATTAGGCTAATATTCTAGATTGAAATGGGATCACGTTCGGCCAAATTCAGCAGAAATCAACATGTTGCACACAAGGCACTCCAAACTTTATGCTTTTAATTTGCTCTGATGGAGTTCGATGGGTCTCTATCATCCACGCTTCATAGTTTTGGCAAATTGATAGCATATTCCTAACATCTTTTCCACAATTTGCCTAATAATGGTGACTGTAGCTCCCAAACTGGCAAGGCTTCATATGCCCGTGTGAAGCTTGTTCATGGGTCGCATAAAGTGAGTGGCTATCACCTGAATATTGTTGCCAATTCTTTTTTTCTTGATCTCACACACACACACACGCACACACACACACACACACACACACACACACATATATATATATATATATATATATATATAGAGAGAGAGAGAGAGAGAGCAAGACTCCTATCAACTTAAGTTGATGTCCACCAAAGTTTGTAGCCACACATTTATTAATATAAAATACCTTTTTATATAATACAAGGATCCCTAGGCAATATGAGTGGTTAAAAACTTTGGTGGACACACTATTCCCTATCCACTTAAGTTGACACAGTTTTCACTTATTACATATATTATAATATTTTGATAATTATATAGTATATAATACTATAATTATAAAATATATATATATATATAATATATATATATAATATATATATAGAGTGAAACTTCGTGTCAATAAGATGGCATAAGGAATAGTAATGTGTCCACTAATTTTATAACACTTTCTTTATTGCCTAGGGATCATGTTATATATAAAAAGGTTTTTAATATTAATAATTTGTTTGGTACAACTTTATGTGGACATCAACTATAGTATGATAGGGTTCTTGCTCTCTCTCTCTCTCCTCTTCTCTCTATATAGTATTAATATATATATATATATTATATGATATACACACAACGTGCACTGTCTGATAGCGCGCGTGTCGTTTCACTATATCGTCAGCCGGTTTCTTAACTTATGACACTGCATAAGATTCCTTATCCTCTTTGAAAGCACCACTATTGCAAAAATTTAATGAGTAGCCGTCAACAGGCATAAATAATGAACTCCACCAACGGAACTGGTCCACAGGAATGAAGGAGGCATAGGCTAATGACAGTTGCTTGTTAAAATAATATAGTTTAAGCATGCATGGAATTATTATAGAAGGTGAAAGGCTCTTTGTTTCTTTTTTAATAATCTTACGGGCATCTGGTGCATTGGCATCTACCAGGAATTGCTTGACAGAGGAGGGATCGGCACTGTGTTTAATTTTGTTGCTTTTGAAAAACTTTCTTTAATGTCGACCGATGTCATAGAGAGGATGGTTTAGTTTATGGATCTTTTGAGTGGAGATCAAATTTTCAATTGAGTAATGACATAATTTAGAAGAAAAATATAGTATAGTTGGTATTGTATCCTTATCGTGTTTAGTTATTGATCAATCATTGATCTACTGATGGAGTTTGTTCCAGTTGAAACGAAGATCTTTTCTCTTCTGATATTTTGGCATCGAACAGTTCAATTGATAGGTCACTGTTAAAAGGGGGTAAATGTTGGTCCTCATAAATTATGCTTGACGCTTATGAGCAAAATATAAGTTACTTATAGGGACTTAAACCCAATCCAGTCTTCTCTTCAGTGATCTCCTAATTTGCATCCTCATGATCGGAGTTCTCTGTGCAAACTATGTTTGGAAAGAGACTTGATTTCTCTTGTGTAACAACCAATGTGGAAGCCCATACTCTTTTAAAAGGAAACCTGAAGTTACAGAACCTAAGAACTTCATCAGATCTCCATGCTGTAAGTGGAAATGTGTGGTCGTCGTTCTTCATCTTTGCTTTTCTTTTTCAGAAAAGAAAAAGAGTCTTGTTCATTGCCTACAACAACAGAGTCATACATACTGCTGAATTGCCTTTTATATCCCTAATATTCATTCGCTGATAGCACTTAATACCTTATAGTTCCACTCTGTCTGCACATATGTGGGCCCACTTGTTTTCATTTATATAGCCTAAAATTGTTTTAAATTTGCACATTAGTACCCTCTATTATGTAAACGTGAACATTTTCATCGAAATTAAGGTATTCAAATGCTATTCATACCTTGTGAATTCATATGCTCTTTTATCTTGGATGCGTACGATCCTGTGGCGATACAGAATTATACTGAAGCTTAAGACAAGCTTTCCCCTCAGCTAGTTGAATGCCGTCCTATTTGCTGGTCTTGATTATCGATTCCCTTCATAAATTCAACATCAGAAGTGGGGCTGTCTTTGGTTTGTAACCCTACAGTGTGAAATTGCTTCCTTTAGACTTGAGAGGGACGCCTAAAACCTCCAAAGGCGAGGCGACCTCTTATCAGAACTATTGTTTGTTTATAACCACTGCCACTAGTGACTAGCCTCAAGCTGAGACGTCAGGCTTAATTACCACATACAAGAATGAGAATCTCCTATCCACAAGGCAACTTGCCTGCCACTTTTATATCTTTTGCTCATGTATCTTTCCTCTTGTGTGAACCAACTGTTGGAGATTAGGGAAAGGGGTGGCTAAGTTTGTTTGCATTAGGTGGCTAAGTATGTAGATATTGATATATTTTATCTGGTTTTCTCGTATCCGCCTGTGTCCCTCTGATTTTCTCTTAAATATTTATTTTGGTGCAAGTATTACATCTGATCGCTATCTATTCTGTTTATACGTTTGCAACTTCACTTGTAATTGCACTCTGCACCGTACAAGTAAAAAGATAGTGGTGCGGCTTTAAGTATTCCAACCCTTGTCCCACCCTAACCTCAGATGCATGCATGCATGCATGTGAGTGCACATGGAGATGAGGAGGATGATGTATTATGGAAAGACGCATCACCGTATAAAAAGCTGTCTCTCAATTCTCCATCCAGTGACTTCCTCATATGCATATTGAGGAATGCAGAGGGTTAATTGGCTGGGAAAAAGTTTGGATGAGAATGGGACCAACAGAATGCCAATCACTTTGGACGTCAATCACTTGGAAAAAGGGTAATAAAAGCTTGTTAGGATCCTAATTTGCCTCCTAATGAAGTTAAGCATGACCCTAGCGCTACCTAGAGTCTATTTTCTGCTCTCCTCTTTTGGTGGCGTGACGCTTGATGTAGATAATGAATGTCGCCGCAAAGTCTTTTGGGTCCCGTTTGGCAAATGGTTAAACAAGAAGGGTTAAAGAGAATGATTAATGTACTTAGCCTATTCGATAATCTGAAGCACTAAATTATTAAATTGTTAAATAAGTTTTATTTTAGCCATTGTGGTCAGTTTTAGTGTTTGGGAATAACAATGATTTTGACTATTTTCTTTATAACTAGAATGGTTAACTATTAATCCTTCTAAATAGGAGTATTAGTAAACTCCTTATTTTAATAGGGTTTAACTCATTTTAATCCATCTAGAGGGGTTAGCTTAACCCTTCTATATTTTTTATGTTTGGCAAATTATGGAGGGTTAACTTACTTTAACCCTTGTATAGATGTTTTGTGTTTGGCGGGTTAAGAAGATGTTAAGTCTCTTTAACCCCTCACTTAACCCATTGCCAAACGGTACCTCGAGTTTTAAGCTAGGCGAGGGCTTCGTGACGGACAGTTTTGATCGATTGGTGCTTAACTTTCAAATAAACCTCAATTCGATTATTAACACTAATAGTTCCAGAGGTTGGTGTTACAACAACGATTAAGTGTAGATAATCCCTCTGTTCCTCGTGAATGGAAAGGCGGTGAGTGTTAATAAACTGAGTTGAGGGGTAATAAATGCTGATGAAGATACAGATGAGCGAATTGGCCGAATTTATGCTAATACAACATGGAAATACCTTCAAACTGGATCTCGCGGAGAAGTAGGAATGCTAAATACTTGATTTGATTTATGTACACACATGCGTGAAATCTACCGATAAAGTTTTGTTGAGATTTTATATATCTACTTGTGTTAGTAACTTAGTATCATGATACTCGATATTTATCCTAGAGATGTAGCTTGCTACCTTCAATAATTTGGTGAATGGTGAGCCAGGGCGAGGGGGCATCAGACCCTGATATCAGCCAAAATAATGTGGAACAGAATAATATCTGTCGTTGAATCTACCAAGAAGAAATGACAACTCCTCGTCACATGGTGACATGGGAATCCCACTGCAAAAGCGATTCAATAGCTAACTCACGGCCCCCAAAGGCCAGGTGATAATTATGACTCGATCGTCATGATGACTCCGCCTCTGTCATTTAATAAGCTTACAGCAGTTGCATAGTATTTAACACTTTTAACTAGCAATTGTGACTCTGAACTAACTCTCATCGGTATGGGTGCAAATGGTTCCGATAAACTTTGGATATGATGCTTATCATATTAGTATACGTTTAGCAATCGCAGATACAAATATAGATACTGATATATCTTATTAAGAAAAATGGATTAGATATCCTTATTATGAGAATTAACCTCAAATTCATCTAAGCATTAAAACTATTG